TTTTTATTGTCTTGAAGAATTCGTATAAAATTAAGGTGATATATTTCTTCAAAATTTTTGTAGAATTGACCTGTATATCCATGTAGGCCTGGTATTTTCTTTGTGAGAATGTTTTAAAATACTGCTTCAGTTCAATAGTTAAGGGACTATTGTGGTTCTTTATTTCTTCTTGAGTTTGTTCTGGTAAGATGTATTTTTTAAAAAGATTTCTTCATTTCAGCTTAAATTTTCAAAATCATTTCATATGGTGGTTATTAATAGTCTTTTGTTTTTAATCTTATTTTATTTTCAGTTGTATTTCTGATTCCTAGATTTCTCACTTGCATGTTTGTGTGATAGTGGTTTTATGTATCATATTAGCCTACCACTCTTTATTATTTCATACTTTTATTAGGGTAGGAACCTGGCTAATCTTGTTTCTCCTTTTTGCCACCTTCAGTCCTTCCTGTAAATTGACTTAAACTGAATCTTTCTGAACCACTGTTTTGATTATTTAATTTCTGTATTCAAAATGTCTTACTCTTTGGGTAAACTCCTAATTCCTCAAGGCCAGTGACTTAACAAGGTAAAGAATAACCCCCACTGTGACTATAACCACACTAGTACAAATGACCAATGTGCTCATTGTCTCTTGAACAATAAGCACATCAAACATCTTAATTTGTTCTTTTGTTCAAACTGTTCTCACTTTTTAAAATGAGTTTACTTCTCTATTCTCTAGCTCCTACCAAGCTTTCAAACCCCTATTAAAATTTCACATTTGTAAAAAAACGTTCTCTGATACTCCAGTATAAAATGATTTTTTCCTTTACTATTTTATTTTTCTGGTGTTCATCCCTTTTTTCTATGTATCTTTCTTTATAGAGTCTTCATGAGCAAAACATTTATATTTTTTTCAGTATCACTTTCTTGTGGGAAAGCTACTGTTACAATCTCAAACTTTTTCCTTGACTATTAAAAAAATTAAAAATTTATGAATTTATATTGCAGTAGCTATGAATCAATGAAGATTGACAATAATTTTTTTGTGTTTAACTTAATATATATATATATATATATTTTTTGTATACTTTAAGTTCTGGGATACATGTGCAGAATGTGCAGGTTTGTTACACAGGTATACATGTGCCATGGTGGTTTACTGCACTCATCAACCCATCATCTACATTAGGTATTTCTCCTAATGCTGTCCCTCCCCTAGCCCCCCACCGGCTTCCCTGTGCCCATATGTTCTCATTGTTCAACTCCCACTTACAAGTGAGAACATGCGGTGTTTGGTTTTCTATTCCTCAATGTTCTCGCTTAGTGGTTCGCACTCAGTGGTTCTCAGTGTTCAACTCCCACTTACGAGTGAGAACATGCAGTGTTTGGTTTTCTATTCCTGTGTTAGTTTAGTGAGAATTCCTGTGTTACTTTACTGAGAATGATGGTTTCCAGCTTCCTCCATGTCCCCACAAAGGACATGAACTCATCCTTTTTTATGGCTGCATAGTAGTCCATGGTATGTAAGTGGTCTAACATTGATGGACATTTGGGTTGGTTCCAAGTCTTTGCTATTGTGAATAGTGCTGCAATAAACATATGTGTGCATGTGTCTTTATAGTAATGATTTGTAATGCTTTGGGTATATACCCAGTAATGGGATTGGTGAGTCAAATGGTATTTCTAGTTCCAGATCCTTGAGGAATTGCCACAGTGTCTTCCACAATGGTTGAAGTAATTTACACTCCCACCAACAGTGTAAAAGCTTTCCTATTTCTCCACATCCTCTGCAGTATCTGTTGTTTCCTGACTTTTTAAATGATCACCATTCTAACTGGCGTGAGATGGTATCTCATTGTGGTTTTGATTTGCATGTCTCTAATGACCAGTGATGATGAGCTTTCTTTCATATGTTTGTTGGCCACATAAATGTCTTCTTTTGAAAAGTGTCTGTTTATATACTTCGTCCACTTTCTGATGGGGTTGTTTTTTTCTTCTACATTTGTTTAAGTTCCTTGTATATTCTGAATATTAGCCCTTTTTCAGATGGATAGATTGCAAAAATTTTCTTCCATTCTGTAGGTTGCCCGTTCACTCCAATGATAGTTTCTTTTGCTGTGCAGAAGCTCTTCAGTTTAATTGGATCCCCATTTGTCAATTTTGTTTTTTGCTGCAATTGCTTTTGGTGTTTTAGTCATGAAGTCTGCCCATGCCTATGTCCTGAATGGTATTGCCTAGGTTTTCTTCTAGGGTTTTTATGGTTTTAGGTCTTGCTCTTAAAATTTTAATCCGTCTTGAGTTAATTTTTGTATATGGTGTAAGGAAGGGGTCCAGTTTCAGTTTTCTGCATATGGCTAGCCAGCTTTCCCAACATAATTTATTAAATAGGGAATCCTTTCCCCTTGCTTGTTTTTTGATTGACTATAATCTATATAGGCAGTACTTTAAGCTATTTTTGTATTATCCCTCCAGACATCTACTCTTCTTTTGTATAAGCTTTGAAAAGAAATTATTCTCTAGTCTGGGGATTACAAAATCAAATGCCTTCAGTATCAGGTTGTCATCATGAATGTGTGAATTGGATTGTGTGTAAGAAATAGGGAGTAGAAGTGTCCTGATTAACTAAAGACTATATATCCTGGCAAAGGAATGCAAACCAAACTCTTAAGGTTCTGGGTCAGTCCTCCTTGAGACCCTGTGCTCTAGCCTCATTTCTATTGAACTCTACTGCTTTATTTTAAAATATCTTAAAAGCGAGAGTTAAAGTAGGACACTTAGGATAAGCTAAAGATTTTTAAAGTTGAGAACTACCTAAATAGTTCATACTGCAATAGATTTTTTGTGACATGAGTTAAAGTTCTTTCAAATAGAACTTTATTTGACTATATATAAGATTATTTTTATGTGAGATTTATGAGGACAAGGACCACATCTTTCTTATTCACTATTCAGCATTTATTACAATGTCCAGCACATAGTAGTTGCTCAGTAAGTATTATTTGAACGAATGAATGAATGGCTATGCACTTTAAAATTTTTTTTTCTGTTTTTTATTAATTTTGTACTAGGTATAGCATAACCACTTGATGGCACTAAACTCATTTTAAAACTTGAAGACAATATTCTCATACCCTTGTACATTGTAACTTTTTTTCTCACACACACATACAAAATGAGCTTTAATATATCATGGACAGTGTAAATTATTATTGACATCAAAAAACCTAGTAACCACAAGAATTTTTTCTACTTCTTAAAATCCTAAAATAATGGATTACAGATTCGAAGTCCTTAGATTATAGAAATGTTTGATAATATTTTTTGCTGTAGCCTCACTGCCTAGTTTAGCATTGGGCATATATTATATCTTTAAGGTGTCTTGATTTTGAAAGAATGTGTTAATAAGTATAAATTGTAACTTCTAACTTTACTCCTCCCACTCTGCTATCCTCAGATAATTTCACCTTAGATAATTTTGACCTAAGATAAGGGAGTACTAAGTGTTACAGTGTTTTAGTTAACCACATTTATGAAGTCCTCTTTCATCATTAAAGTTTTCATCCAAATTTACTAAAAAACTGTGATTCAGGTCAAAATATTTACTCGTTTAAGTCAGCAGCAATGTTAATTGGATTCTGGATCTATTACTACTTTTTCCTAATTTATCAATTTTAAGACAGTTTTGAATACAAAATACTTACAGAGAAGAATTATAGAAGCATGGTGATGTTATTATAGTTATTGAGAAGTAGGAGTACGAGACTGTTCTGTAATGGAGAGTGCAGTCTTATCAAGGAATTTCTCAAATATACTTCAGTCAGCAGTTCAGGAACTGGTAGATAGTCATAAGACCTTAAAAACCTCTACCAACATGAGAAATAGAGAACTATAAGAATTAAAGAAGGAAAATAACTGAATTTTTTTCTTCTGAAATCAGGCAGGATAAAAATAGATAATTTACTAAAATGTAAAATCATAAGCTAATTAGCATTATTGGAAAGACTAATTACAATATAGTAGCATAATACTGTAGTAGGACTAAGCTGTAATTTAAAAAATTATTCAGCTCTATGATTAACCTTGCTGGTGTTCACACTGATCATCTGAGGGTCTTTCCAGCTTCATGATCAGTACTGTAGGTGCTTAGGCAGTGTGGAAGAAACTGCTGTTCATAAAGTGGTTTATAATCTTGTTGGAGAGACCACATGTATGTGCAGAGGCAGCGTAGCATGATGGCTACGTACACAAATTCTAGAACCAGATTGGCTGTGTGCCCCTGGGCACTTGACTTCTGTGCCTCAGCTTCTACAAATTTAAAATGAAGATGATAATATTACTCCTTCTTCATAAGTCGTTGAGAGGATTAAAAGAAATAATACATGTGAAGTGCCTAGAAAAGTAACTGGCACGTAGTAAATGCTATCTAAATGTTTTTTCCTTTGGCTAGAATGTAAGGTCCAGATAATTTGTTAAATGAACAATTAATAGCTAGATGATAGCAATGTAAAGACTGTACATGATTGAGTGAAAAAAATATGTGGACATTATATACCCTGTTTGGGAATTCAAATGAGGGTAGAAACTAATGTGAGTTGTTTCAGAATTTCTCTAAAATCACATAGGTGACTTGAAGCTTATGCTCAGTAGTAAAATACGAATTGAATTTGAATAGGTAGAAATGAGTCTAGGAGGAAATGAATAGGAGAGGAGGACAAGCTCTGTTGGCTTAATCAGCTATGTTTTCGATCAGGATGATTGGTTTTGTTACCCTAACGGGATTGGTTTTTGCTAATGAGTTCATTGAGTTCATTTGGTTTCCTAGAATCTTCAACTCCAGAATTGCAGCAAATTTCTGAAAATAGATTAAGATAGACATTAAACATATTTATTCTGTTTATGCTGAGACTTTATAAAATATAATTTGAAAACTGTTCATGTTTTGGGATCATTGTCACTGGTTAAAAACCATTTTTTATTTTTTTTAAACACATTGATATCTTCACTCTTATATTTTCTAGGTAATTAATAATGCTTGTGCTACTCAAGCCATAGTGAGTGTGTTACTGAACTGTACCCACCAGGATGTCCATTTAGGCGAGACATTATCAGAGTTTAAAGAATTTTCACAAAGTTTTGATGCAGCTGTGAGTACAACCTTCTTATTCCTAAAATGTCATATTTGTGAAAGTTTGTGTATTAATAGACTACTTTAAAAAATTATTTTAGATGAAAGGCTTGGCACTGAGCAATTCAGATGTGATTCGACAAGTACACAACAGTTTCGCCAGGTAAAGAGACTTTATGTTAAATAAATACTGTTTCTTTCTTTGCTTCTTTGAGTCTCACTATTTTTTTATTTACTATAGACAGCAAATGTTTGAATTTGATACGAAGACATCAGCAAAAGAAGAAGATGCTTTTCATTTTGTCAGTTATGTTCCTGTTAATGGAAGACTGTATGAATTAGATGGATTAAGAGAAGGACCGATTGATTTAGGTAATGCAGTTCCTGTCCCTGATGTTTCACTTTTGACAGAGGAAAATCTGTTGGGTATTCACCCTCATTTTAGTCACAGTGCTGCTTCAATTTTCAAGGTAAAAGTGACTATGAGGCAACATAAAATAATGAAGGCCTTAAGCTCTTCAGTATGTTATATTAATATACAGGAAGGACATGTTGACTACTATAGTTCATTTGAGGCCTTTGAGTTTTTCCCAAGTAAAATTAGTTTTTAACCTATAGGTTACATAATTTATATTTTATTTTCCATTTAGCATTTAAAAACTACCCTTAGTGAACTTAAATAGTTATTCTTGTCATTTTTAACCCATTCATAAAGGATAGCAAACATTTCTTGTCATCTGTATTGAAGTATTTTCATTTGGAAGTGTATAATTTATTGTTTTGCAATCAAGAAAATATTTTTCTTAAAAGTTCTCTATTTAAATAGTGCATGAATGTGTTATCCTTTGTGCCAAAGCATAGATTTGTTCTGATCCCACCCCATCTCTAATGCTGAGCAAAAAATGGTAAACACTTATCAAGGTTGAGGGTACAATCTGTGGCTCTAAAAGATTACTGAAATAATAGGTTCACAAAATAATTTTAACTCCTTATTTTGACTTCATTAAATTTTGTTTTTCTTTTTTTAATATTAGGTTTGAAGTCCAACACAACTTGTTTTAGTTGAATCTAATGTTACAGGCTATTCATAAAACTGTTCGATTTTAAAACTGTTTTAGATTTTTAAAAAATTAACGTGGGTTCATTTTGTTTGTACTTTTTGCCATTCCACATGCGTGGAACCAATCAATAGTTTATCTAATGCAGATTTACATGCTGCCTCTATATTTAAAAATGCTTACTTTTCTATGTCTGTTATAAAAATTTATTTATGGAATTGAAACAACATAATTATACTAAGAAGAGTTTTACTGCTCTAAATTTGTTAAAGTATTTGTAGAAAAATATTTGGGGCCAAACTTTTGCATGTTAAAGTTGATTGTTCTTATTTTTATTTGTGTTAACTGTTTTAAAATTTCTTTCTAGGTGCATGCAATCAAGATGATTGGATCAGTGCAGTAAGGCCTGTCATAGAAAAAAGGATACAAAAGTAAATGCTCAGCTAATCTTATTGGCATAATATTCTGTTTTTTAAGTATTTTTTAAACTTGTATTTTATTGTTATTTTAGCAGTGTGCATTGAACATCTACTTTTTTTTTTTTTTTTTTAATTTTTTGTAGAGACGGGTTTTCACCATGTTGCCCAGGCTGGTCTCAGACTCCTGAGCTCAAGCCATCCGCATGCCTCGACCTCCCAAAGTGGTAGGATTACAGGCGTGAGCCACTGTGCCCAGCCAAACATCTACTTTTGATTGGGTTAATGCGTTTAAGAAGTCTATTTCAGAAAATCTCTAAATTTCATGTAGTAGTATGTCATCTTGTCTTTAGAGAAGTTAAACATGCAGATTTCCATTAAGTTAAATAATTGTTTATTTATTTTTTTTATTTTTTGAGACAGTATCTCACTCGGTTGCCCAGGCTGGAGGGCAGTGGTGCAATCTTGGCTTACTGCAACCTCTGCCTCCCGGGTTCAAGCGATTCTCGTGTCTCAGCATCCCGAGTAGCTGGGATTATGGGCACATGCCACCACACCCAGCTAATTTTTGTATTTTCAGTAGAGATGGGGTTTCACCATGTTGTCCAGGCTTGTCTCAAAATCCTGACCTCAAGTGATCTGCCAGCCTTGGCCTCCCAAAGTGCTGGGATTACAGGCATGAGCCACTGTGCCCAGCTAGATATTTTGTACTGTTGGATAATTGTACAGCTATTTTACAGAGTTTTGTTTTTGAGGGTTTATTTTTAATATTAAGCTCTTTATTTTTGGGTAATTATATATTCAATTTCAGATAATTATATACATTCAGTTGTAAGAAATAATACAGAGACATCATGTGTATTTTTTATCTTTCAATGGCAACATCTTGCAAAACTACAGTGTAATATCACAGCCAAGATACTGGCATTGATGTAGTCAAGATACAGAAAATTTGCTCTCCACAAAGATCCCTTATGTTGTTCTTTTTAGGCACAAACACTTGTCTCCCCTACTGCCTTTCCCTTTCCTTCACTCCTTAATCCCTAATTCTATAATTTTTGTGATTTAAAGAAAGCTATATATGAATTTTATAATATGTAACCTTTTTGCCTTAGCTTTTTCACTCGGTTTAATTCTCTGGAGATTCATCCAAGTTATTAAGTGTATCAGTAGTTCATTTTTTATTCATAAATGGTATTCTGTGATATGGATATACCATTTTTTTGCCTGTTCATCCATTGAAGGACATCTGGATTGTTTTCTATTTTTTGGCTACTGCGAATAAAACTACAATAAATGTTTTTGTGCAGATTTTTTGTGACTACAGGTTTTCATTTCTCTGGGATAAATGTCTATGAGTGTCATGGCTGGGTTGCATGGTAAATGGGTATTTATTTTTTTAAGGAACTACCAAACTCTTTTCCAGAGTGACTGTATCATTTTATATTTTACCAGCAATATATTAATGGTCTAGTTCCTCTGCGTCCTTTTTAGGATTTGGTGTTATCACCATTTTTATTTTAACCATTCTGACAGATGTATAGTGATACTTCATTGTGGTTTTAATCTGCATTTCCCCAATGACTAATGACGTTGAAAATCTTTTTGTGCCTTTAGCTCATTTTCTGATTGGATTGTTTTTTTGACTCTTGAGCCTGAAGTTCTTTACGTAATTTAGATACTAATCCTTCATCAAACACATTGCCTGCAAATATTCTTTCCCAGTCTGTAGCCCATCCCCTCGTACTCCCAAAATGGTCTTTCACAGAGCAGAAGGTCTTAATCATGATGAAGTACAGTTTATCAAT